GTGTGTGTGTGTGTGTGTATGTACGTGTGTGTGTGTGTGTGTGTTAATGATTTCAGTGCTGGTGAGCAAAATTTTCTTGTAAGAAATATATTCCATACATTAATAAATAAATACAGTTTTCTAATACAAATATGTCTTTCATACTTTTGGTCATGATATTTTAAAACTTCAGTGTTATTCTTCTAGGAGATTCAAGAAAAACCTATTAATCAGATTTTATGTTACTTACAGACAAACTCAAGCTTACCTGATACATCTCTTCCTGAACTTTTCAGAGAATTATAATGACATAGTAATTTGAAGTCTCAAAGTAATTAATGTCAAACCATTATTTCCTATTAAGATATCTTATCAAGTAACATTATGTCCTATAATTTCTCCATTAATTTTAACCAAGAGTGAATTAAAATTTTGGAAGGCTTATGTTTTCATTCTATAGGAAAGGTGCATACCAAATTTATAATAAAGACTGCCTCTGAGAAGTGAAGGATGCAGGAATAGAAGAATTAGGGATAAGTACCAAGGGGACTTCAACAGGGATACGTGTTTTACAAAGGCAAAGTACCAGATAACACTTGCACCAAGCGTGCTGGAGCAGGGCCCATTGGAGAAAACCCATGGAGATATTCCAAGGACCATGGTATACGTATAGAACCATGACTCCCGCTCACCTCCACATTGTTCAGCACCCACTGTGGCCTTACACAGCAAGAGAAGAACTTTGATCCTAGGGCTGTGCATGTTTTAAGTTAAATAATTTCTGAAACTCTGGCAGCTCCCTGATGTGTCCAAGGACCAGAATATTATTGTGATATGACACAGTAGGACATTGGCTCCTGCCCTGTCCTACCAACCAGGGTATGTGGTTTAGGGTAATATCAGCCTGATGCCTGGTGTGAACAGGGGTATAGGGTCCAAGCTTTGCAATGGTAACTTTGTGATGTAGCCAGCTGCCAACGGGACTTACCACCACCTTAGCATTATTGTTTGTTGAAGGACCACCTCCTCTCCTGGTGTGATGTGGTTGGTTGCTGGGGGCCTCAGTCTTGTGTCGAACAGAATTATAGTTTAAGTACTTGGCAGAAGCTAATTCCAGTGGGACATTGCACAAAGTGACTTTTTTTTTTTTTTTTTTTTTTTTTTTTTTTTTTCTGGAGGCAGCCTATGGAGAATCACTCCTGGATACTATTTCTATTCTTATGTTTCAGTATATAAATGTTTGCCATCTCTTTCTCTGTACTTTGGGTATTTACATATAGACTCTTCATTCATTCAACAAACATCTACTGAGTATGGACTATGTGACAGGGTCTGTTTTGGGGGCTAAGAATTTAACAGTGAATAAATTAGAGTAGTGATCTGCTGTGTTAGCCCAAGTGAAAGACTGAAGTAGAAAGAGACGGATTTGAGAAGCAGCTTGGCAACTGATTTTGTGTCAGGACCTGAAGAGTGGGGAATGTCATCCTTAGTATAGGCTAAAAGACAGGACTGACTTATGTAATATGATCTAAGGTGTTTATAACTATTTAGAGTTTTGTAAAACTCTTTTATATACATTAGTTCATTCAACTCTTGAAATAATTTTTAGAAGTGGTTGTTGATATTTCTATTATCCATTCAAGGAAACTAAGATTCCCAGATATTAGTGACTTTTTAAAGATCCCTTTACTGTGAAAGGTGAGAAAATTCTGGTCTTCTGCTTCCAACCCCCAACTTTTCACAATATCTTTGTATTATATTATATTATATTATATTATATTATATTATATTA